GTACAGCCTGGCAGGTCATCCCTCTGAGAACCAGCTGCACTTCAGTCTCAGACCTGCAGAGGACACTGGGTAAATGAGTTCATATCTAGTGTCAGAATTAGATATGACAACAGAATAAAGCATTATGCATATGTCAACGTGACTGCATTTGCTTTTAACTCAGAGCACAAGAGCACCTAACTACTACATGTATTTTTGTAGGATAAAGAAAAAAAGTTAATTTCATGTCAGATTTCTGTTCATTAATAAGTTGCATTAAATATATCATTTTTGAATTTATTTTGGCAAGATGAAAGTGTAAGAAGAATCCCAGCTGTACTTCTTCCTTCACCCTGTTTGCAGATTAACAGTCCACATGTTGGCTGCTCGAACTCTGATTCGCTCCCTCGAGATGGAAGCAAGAGACGACAAAGGAGAGCGTGATGAGGAAATGAAGAAGAAGGTGGAGGAGTTGAGTATCCAGTCAGGAGTGAGCAGTGCCTTTACTGCCTTTATTGCTGTTAGTAAAAGCAGTGGTGAGGCGATACAAGGACCCCTGATAAGCATAGATAGTCGAGCAAACCGTGAGTATTCACATTTATATTTTCTGTATTCTGAAACACTGAATGTTGTTTTGCTTGTCCTTTCAAGCCCTACTTTATTAACACAACATGAGCTCAGAAGGATGTACTGTGAAACATGATTATTAGCACCATATTTTGACCTCTGAGTTGGAGTTTTCATTGCCAGGAAGGTAGATTTCTTTTTACCTTGTTCATTCACAGTGGTAACTTATGCCGAACACTTAATTGGTCTTGAGCAAGTTATATTGAGAGTTTCAGTTCAAAATCACTCTTTAAAATATGCAAAATGTAGGCCTCTACTTACGAGATGAGTTTTACACATGTAGTCTGCAGAGCTGTATCTTACTAACACAGCTGAAGGAAGGTATGCATGAAGTCACAGCAGCACAAAATGTGCAGTGCATGCACATGGCCCCAGTAGTGCTCGCTGGAAGCAACAATAAGGTTGCCAAAGTCTTGTGAGAGCTCATTTGTTTTACCCATCACGAGATGTTTCTTGTGTGACACATTGGTAATGAGACACCTTTCCAGAGGCCATCAGTTGGGACTGAAGCAACTGATATTAATTTGCACCAAGTGTCAGAACTGCTTTTTAATTACTGATAGATATTCTTCTTTCCATGCCCTTTTGCTCTTCCCTTTCTTCATGCGTTTTTCCCCTGTGTCATTTCTCATTTTTACACATAATTTATGGACACGTTTGGCTTGATTTCTTAGTATTTTTGGATTGGATGAGTTGTTAATGATTTTTGGTTAGAGCTTCATGTCAGTAGCATCTTTAAAAATACATTAACTTGGAAAATTGGTGACATGTTTAATACTTATTTTAGCCACTGTGTGTATGTGAGAGAAAAAGACTCTTCACCACCACCTGGTGGTTGCAGGAAATTATGAGCAATTATTTTGTGGAAAAGTAAAATAGAATCAAAGGCTTTACACTGCTGCGTCTCCATTTCAGACCCATTAGTTACATTTGTAAGTGTGAAAATATGACGATATACTATAGAAAGTTCAAATGGTTATTTTCGGTGACTTAGTGGAAAACGGATAAAACATCTGAGGTACTGCAGACATCAAATAAGGATATACTGAAATGAATACGTTTCATGATTTGGATAATGCAAAAAATGATATTCAGGGATTTTTTTTTACATTTTGAAACATATTATTTTGTATTTTGCATCTTTTTCCCGATTTTAACTCTCTTTTACAAAATTGTTATGGCTTTATGATTGAATTAAGTTTTTTTTTTTTTTTTTTTTTTTTTTGCTACAGCTTGTCTGTAAATACACTTCAAAGACACTGTTTTTTAAATCATGATTATAACTTTGTCTTGTGTCAAACAGTTTTATTCCTTCGCCAATACAGTTTTTCAGATTCCTGTGAGATCAGTAAAGGTAAGTAGTTTTACTGGAGCATGTGCAAACATAAACTGAAAAATAGTGTATAAGACAAAACCGAGTTCGTGCCACCTTTATTCTTCAGCGGAGCCTGAACTCCCTTAGAAGCTTTCTTGTAATTTCTTTATTTATTTAAAATTCAGGAATAGTTCTCCGCCTGGCTTGACTAACCAACAAGCAAATAGCATTCCTGGGAAAATGGTCGGGTACTAGGATTTATTTCTACAAGCATTCTGGAAAACTATTGCTTAATGCCACAAAGTCCGTCTTCTTTAAAGCCAGTTTTTCAATTAGTCATTTTTTTAACCAATAAATTGGCACTTTTGAAGTTCCTCCACGGGTATAGCGGTTAAAACATATTCTCGGCGAGAAAGTGGTTGCTTGTTTAATTCCAGACAGACATAAATTCTACATTTGGGTTTCATCAGGAAGGACATTTGCAGAATAAGCCCTTAAGGAAAGGTAGTAGCTGGAATAAGATTTTAGTTAGCACTGTTTTTGGATTGTGTGTTTCTTTGAGTTTCTGTCTTAGTTTTTGCTATTTTCCATAGATTTTATTAATGACAGGTAGTATTTTGTTACTTCCCTGTCTTCTCTGCATTTAGTCTAACTTTAAAAAAAAAAATTGATCATCTTTAAGTTTCAACACTTTCTTGTCACTTGTCAGTAATTTTGATCATTTTTATGAATTATGGGATAGTATTACTACCTTTCATTTAATTGATTGTAGTCCAATGTTTCCTCCAATATACCAGCTTCTGTCTTCCATACGGAAGGCAGTATAGTATGGAATTCCCTGTTTATCCAGCCTCATAAACCCCACCCTTGAGATTTTGTTGCTTTTTTTTTATTCTAAAACCTGACCTTTTAAAACCTACTGAGAATATTTTGACCAGTTATTGAATTTAACCAAAATTCTGATACTAAGTAAAATTGAAAATAATAATAAATTTGATATATTTTCCAACCATAAAATGGAAGAAATTGTGCTACTCTTTGAACTAGATAAATACAAGTTTTTATTTATTTATAGACTGTGACTCAGAGGGGATTGTGCAGGGACTGTCTACAAAGTGCAAGGTTGAAAAGAGAAAGATATTTTAATCTAACTAACACAATAGGTGTTTTTTTTTTAAATAACTTCCTGCTCTTCTGTAGGTTATATCACAAACTTTAGTTCAGGTGTTTTGTAAAAAGACCTGAGATTGCATCCTTTAGCCGTGTCATATTCACTTTCTGTATTCATTCTCTCAGTTTGCCTTTGTATGACATTAATGTGTAAATGTATCAGTTCCAGTAAACTAAAATCTATGATTTGTCTGTATGTAGGTACAAATACAGGATCCTGTGGTCTGATAACTGCCCAGAAGGACCCAGGTAAAAAAAAAAAAAAACATCCGCTCCTGCATCTCTGATGGCATGAAGGTGGATTCAGTTGCATCAGAAAACAAAAAATACTATAAAGGCCCAGAATTGTTGAAACACTAAAGAAGTTAGAAAAGTAGGGAAAAAAGTGGAAGAAGTATTGACTTAGACCCTACCTCTTTCATAATTCATTCATAATGTACCATCTGTAAGTTTGGATGTTTTGATTCTGTTTGTCTGTCAGTTCCTCTGAAGAGCATTGAGGTGGAGCTGGAGGTGAGGGACCATGTGGCTACAGTGGTCTCCACTCTGAACTATGAGAACAAGGAGGACAAACCATTAGAGGCTGTTTTTGTCTTCCCTCTGCCTGGAGATGCTGCTGTCTGCCATTTCAGTGCTCAGATTGGACAGACACAGATTGTAGCTGAGGTGAAGGAGAAACAGAAGGTGAGCTGGACAGTAAATATAACCTGATTATAAGTGAGCTTCAAAATAAACACAGTGAATGTCACTGACATGTGTCACCTGTGCTTCAGGCTCGTGAATTGTATGATGATGCTCTGAGCTCCGGTCAGCAGGTCTGCCTATTGGCAGAGAGTGATGAGAGTCCAGATATATTCTCTCTGAGTGTGGGCAGTCTGCCTCCAGGAGAGAGCGCCTCCATCAGGTTGGAGTACGTCACTGAGCTGGCTGTGCAGGCTGATGATGGTCTGAGGTTCTGTCTGCCTGCTGTGCTCAACCCTCGATACCAACCTCAGGGTAGGACAACTGTAGCTTTTCTTTTGATCCTGCTTGCCTTTTGTGTTGTTCTCTGTCAAGATAACCTTTGTTGCCACTGATTTTCAGTCCACCTCTTGTGTAAATTCGTATGCCTCGAACCCTTTTTCCCTTTTATAAGAATGGCTTCTTGATAGCCACCCTCCTTTTGAGAGCGTTTCTGATGAAGCTTCAATGAACAGTAAATGGATCAACTAAAGACCCAGATCCATCCCTCGGGTCCTGTTAGCTGGATCTTTTTCCTATTTCTTAAGGACATGACTTTCAAATCATTATGTGCTGTAGATAGTTTGTTAGGCCTGGCACTTCTTCACCTGTCTAGTTTCCACAATGTTTTAAGGACACACTGCACAGCTTACCCAGATATGTCAAGTTTTTATCTAATAGCACTATAGCACTTTGGCAATCATCTTATTGTTGCCAAAATATTATTTTATAAATGTCAAAGTGTTATTTTTTTACTTTTTCATGGTTTCAGCTAAAGAAATGGGAACAACTGATGTGTACTTGCAACAGGCTGCCTAAAGATACAGTTTAAAATTGTGTCCACTTTGCTAAGTTGTCTATTATGTGTAGACACAACACTGGTTCCTCCCTTGAGTTGGGTGCCCATGAAAAAGGCACCTAACATAATATGTACACAAGCTTTTATTACTGCACCTGCGTGTCAGGCTACATTTCACTGTGTGTTATACTTGTATAACTATGCATGTGACAAATAAAGAACCTTGAACCTTGAACCTTCTCATACCTGGGTTTACGTCCCCCTTATGTAAATGTGTATATGAGGGAGATTTACAGAGAACATTAAAAGTCAACATCCAAATATATGGCCCTGCAGATGATACTTAGCTTTATCTATTGTTGAAGCCAGATGGCAAACAACAATTGAACTAAATTATGCTGAAAAACTAGTTCATGCATTTATTACTGCAGCGAGAGTACTGACTGGGCCTAGAAAAAGAGAACATATTTATCCCATACTGGCTTCTCCTAATTGGTTCACTGTCAAATCCAGAATCAAATTTATAATTCTTTTACTCTCATGTGACTTTTGTTTCACTGTGATTTGGTACTATACAAATAAAACTGAAGTGAAATGTATTAAAATCAAATAACAATAGAAAGAAAACCAGAACATGAGGTTCAATTAATTTTTCTGTGAACCTTGAAGTTGATACTGTAACAAAAGATTTACTTCTAATCAGTCTGATGCTGTGTACAGGAAGTGCAGGTGCAGGTTTCCAGGTGACTTCTGTTCCAGCCTCTCTGGTGCCCTACAGTCTGTCTTTTTCTGCCCGAGTGTCCTCTCCTCGTCCAATCTCTAAAGTAGAGTCCAACTGTTCCCTGGACCCTCTGCAGTACCTCAACACTGATCAAACCCAGGCCACGGTAGGTAGAGTGCTGATGTGTCTGCTGTGTGTGGTTGTTACTTGTTACTGAGGAATAAATATGAATGTGTTTGTGGTGTGCAGGTCAAGCTGGCTGCAGGACACAAGTTTGACAGAGATGTTGAACTGCTGATTTATTACAAAGACGCCCACCAGCCCACTGCTGTGGTGGAGGCAGGACAGGCCTCTGCTGAGCCGGGTGAGTTGTTGGTTTGCACATTTTTATTTGCAAACTAACAACTGATGATTAAAAACGTGTCCTCTTCCTTCCGGTGGGAGATAACAGTGTTTAAATATATTGTAAAATATAAAGTTTACATTCTTTTCCCCTTTTCATGCGTTTCAGGCTCTCTGATGGGTGATCCAATGGTGATGGTGAGTCTGTACCCTGAGTTCCCCCAGTCTGTGATGTCTTCAACGGCTTCATGTGGAGAGTTTGTGTTCTTAATGGATCGATCTGGAAGTATGGGATTTAGGATCAAAAGAAGGAGTCTTCAGACTTGCATCCACAGTGCAAAGGTAGTCATAATGTGTGACTCATGAAGTCTTTAATCTCTAGTGTCCCTCTCACAGTGGCTTTCTCCATCTTTTTCGTCTTCTCTGAAGGACACTCTGCTGCTCCTGTTGAAGAGTTTACCAATGGGCTGCTATTTCAACATTTACAGTTTTGGGTCCAGATATGAACACATCTTCCCGTGAGTAACTCCTTCACCCAACAGAAGTCTTCTTGTTTTTGCTAAGAAATACACGTGCTTGTGTATTGGTGTTTGTGTAATGACAGTAAGAGTGTGGAGTACAGCCGGCAGACCATGGAGGAGGCTCTGAAGAAAGTAAAGAAGATGAAGGCTGATCTTGGAGAAACAGAGATCCTTGAGCCCCTCAAACATATTTACAGCCAGCCCTGCATTCTCAATCAGCCTAGACAGGTAACACACACACACACGCACACACATGACTTAGGAGCTCACCCCAATGTTAATTACAACTAATAGTTGCATAAAGGTACTCTTGGAACATATATTTACCTAAAAATCTAAAGAGATAAGCTATGGTGACTTACTTCCTTTCCCTGTATTGGGACTGTACAACTTCACATGACTGTTTTACCTTACCAACAAATACAGAAACAGCTGGATGGGTGTTTTTGTTCTTATTGCACTATTTTCACATTTGGCTGAATAAGGTACACAAATTTAGTGTAGTGGCCCAACAAACTGGAGAGTATAAGGACATCTGCATAGAGCCGCACATTTACTTTCTGATAAGAAAATATATGTCACACCATCCTAAATGGATCTCCATTGTTACACAAGCAGTATGTAATTTGGATTGACACACAATTTGCAGTAATATTACCATGTAATTCTAGATACTGTTTTTAAAAGCTTGTCAGGACCATAATTGTTCAGGTAACTGGTCTTCATACTAACTGTGCATTGTTTGTTACTGCTAAACCATTTGTGTTTCTAAAACAAAGAACCAAAAATGGCTCTAAACACAAACTGTTTTACTGTTTTACATCTGTTATGGTGAAACTTCTTTCTAGCTGTTTGTCTTAACTCGCGGATGGGTGAAGAACGACAAAGAAGTGATAGATCTGGTGAAGAAGAATTCAAGTTCTCACAGGTGAAAACACAAAACATAACTACAAAATTGTGCAAAAGTCTTGATCCATCCCTCTTTTCTTAGTATTTTGCTTTTAAGGAGGCAGATTTTCTTTTCTTTTTTTTTCTTTTTTTTTTTTTGTTGCCATATTTAAGGTGGTCTTGGGGAATAGTCTTTCTAAAGGTCTTTACTTTGAACATGGTTGTGTGGCTGTTTTTGTTTAAGCCACATGACATTGACTTATGAGTCATTCAAGCATAAAAAGGCACTTGACTTAATATTTTATAAAATGTAACAAAATGAGGGACGGCTTAAGACTTTTGCGTGGTACCAGATATCTGCAGAATTCCCAGAATGTGCTAAAAGTTGTCTCTGTATCTAATGGAAACTGCTGTATTGCAGGTGTTTCTCTTTCGGGACAGGAGAAAACACCAGCTATAATTTCATTAATAAGATGTCCAAGGAAGGAGGAGGTCACGCTCAGTTCATCACTGCGACTGACAAGATACAACCAAAAGTAAGACATTAAACACAATCAGAAGTCAAATTAAACAAAACCACCGCAAATACTTATTTAATCAGAGAGTGTGATTCCAGTCATAAAAAAAAAACAGCTCCTAACTCTTTGTTTTGAATTATTATTCAGGTGATGCAATCACTGCAATTTGCTCTGCAGCCATCTGTGATTGACATCTCAGTCACATGGGATTTACCAAAGGAAGTGTCTGTCACTGTCCTCACTCCACCAATCACATCCATTCTCCAGGGTCAGAGGTCACTGATTTATGCCCAGCTCACTGGACAGGTAGGAGCAGCATCTTCTCACAGTGAAAGATGTCTGTTGTGTTTTGAAATCTGATTAACAGTGATGTTCATGTGAAGATGTAGTTGGTTTCTAACACTGTAATTCTGTGTCAGAGCTCAGAGGCAGCAGAGGGCTGTGTGACGCTGAAGTACAGCCTGGCAGGTCATCCCTCTGAGAACCAGCTGCACTTCAGTCTCAGACCTGCAGAGGACGCTGGGTAAATGAGCTGTTAGTCTGGTGGTACAATTAGTAGTATTAGCTTATACATTTGGTCAGGAGCAGTTATAAATTTTTTATTAGAGTAGAAATAAGTTCAGATTCAAAACTAATGATTCAATAGATTTGTGCATTCAATTTTAGCATGCACAGATTATACTAAGATTTGTTTGTATGCATTGTTTGTGGATGGAGCTAGCTGTGAGTATGTCATTGTTGTCATGTTATTAAACATTATTAGGATGAAAGTGTAAGAAGAATCCCAGCTGTACTTCTTCCTTCGCCCTGTTTGCAGATTAACAGTCCACATGTTGGCTGCTCGAACTCTGATTCGCTCCCTCGAGATGGAGGCAAGAGACGACAAAGGAGAGCGTGATGAGGAAATGAAGAAGAAGGTGGAGGAGTTGAGTATCCAGTCAGGAGTGAGCAGTGCCTTTACTGCCTTTATTGCTGTTAGTAAAAGCAGTGGTGAGGCGATACAAGGACCCCTGATACCACCACCCGGTGAGTGTTAGCACTGATATTTGATTTATTCTGAAATAGTGAATGTTCAAAGTTCTGCTGAGGTTTTTTTCTTTCAAGTCCTACTTTGTGAGCACAGGGCTGTACTAAGAAGTGTCATTAATGGCTCAGCAAAATATGTTGACATTTGAGTTTTCAGTGTCATGAAGATGGCTCGCTTTTTATCTGATTACATCACCATGGTAACTTGTGCTTAACACCTGCCCTGTCTAGAGCGAGTTACATCGTCTTAAAGCACAGAATTTTGCCTGATTCTTTCACAACCCCGAAGTTGGGACGCTCTTTAAATTGTAAATAAACACAGAAAGCAATTATATACAATTTAGAAAACATATCAAATCTTAATAAGAAAGAGGTAACTAAAAAAAGTAATAATAATGAAGTATTTTAGAATTTGATATCAGCTACACATCACAAAAAATTGAGACAGGGGCAACAAAACGCTGCAAAAATACATTTAAAAAGAAACGGCTGCAGGAATATTTTGCAACGACTTAGGTTAACTAGCAACAGGCCACTAACATTTATGTTCAGCACATCTAGTCTAATGTCCTATATAAATAAAATTGCCATTATCATTAGTGTCTAGAAATTGCTAGAAGACAAAGAATTTTTATTAAATTATTTGTATCATTTTTTTCGTTTTTGTTATATTTTAGTGGTATTATTGCTTTTGTTGCCCTTTTGCATCTTTCTCCCTTTATTCTGACTTTATTTTATCTCGTTCTGTCCTCTTCTGGTGTTTGCGCTTCTGTTTGAAGCACTTTTTTAAAATGATGATGATGATGATGATAAAGATGATGATTGTTTTGTGTGACACAGCTTTAAAACAGTGTAATTTGGTGGATTCCTGTGAGAGTCAGCCAAGCATCAGTAAGGGTAAGTACTGTTACTTTCTGACACACACACACACACACACAACACACACCACGACACACACACACACACACACACAGACACACACACAAACACACACACACAAACACACACACACACACACAAACAACACAAACACACAATTTCACTCGATAGATTTTATTTTATTTTTTACCTTTTCTGAGAAGTTCCACAAATTTCCAGCTACACCCACATTGTAAGAGTCTCAAATGATAAAGGCAAACATTCTGTGTACATGTTCAGTTTCTTAAAGCAGAAAGCAGGATTGATGGTCCTGCAAATGTGTCTATTCCTGTACATATTAGTGTTTGAGAGGGCGAGGGGTTTCTCTCCAGACGCCTTCTCACACTGTCCACCAATATCTTGACGGCACATTGCTGGAAGAAAATGATGTAATCTTGTACTGAATACTGATTGGTTGATAAGTGGGCTGGAATAAAGATGGGAGAGACAGTTGAGTTTGCTGGAAACAGGAGAACTGTGAAAAAACTAATTTTAAAGTTAAAAAATTACGGCTGGCTGATGGACAAAAACAGAACAAGCAAGAGTGGCACACAGACTGGTTGTACCGCACACTTTGTGCATTGCCTCAATTTGGAAACAGAGCTTACTGCAGGCAGATGGGCAGTCCCTGATGTGGAGCAGACAGTGCATACGTTACCTCTGCTGGACATAAATCCCACTTAACATATAACTGATCCTTAGCCAAGCTCCATCAATGTAATGTTAAGGATGTAAAGTAACAGAAATTTTATGGTTTTTATCTCTGCAGGGACCTCTGTAACGGAGAAACTGAGATCAGGTAAAGGATTTACTCTTCCGAGATATTGAATCTCTGTGTAGGCACACACACAGACAGACAGACAGACAAGTGCATTAGGTCTCCAACTTAATGAAGAAAAAAGAGATGTCCTTGTTTGTGGCCCAGCAGATTTGAACATAATGAAAGTGGAAACAAAGTAATGGACACTTTATGCCACATTTGCCAATGTTAAATGTTTGGTTCACTCTTGTTTTTAATCACTTTCCAAGCTGAGTTCTGTGTATCCGGGTCTGAATTGGAATTTGTTATTCATGCCTTTTATTTAATTAAGGTTATTATAATTGTTCACTTCTCCTAAGTTCCTCTCTGGAACATCAGCAGATCGTTCAGGATGCCGCTGTGAGGCTTCTTACTAAGTATTCACACTCTATTGCATCCACTGCATCAACTTCAGACTGCACTTTAAGATTCTGGTTTTGACTTTTAGAGCTTTTTAGAGCTCTGCATTGAAAAGCACCAGCATAAATCAATGAAATTTCCCAAAAGATGGAAAATAAACCAAAAGCTAACCCAAACAAACCACACATATGCATACTGGGAATAGGAGAGGTCTAATTTTAACATCAACCCCCATCAACCCAACAAGTGTGCGTCCTCTGAGGATCCGTCTCTCACATCCTGCCCACTCATCACGCTTACATTCTTGTCATTAAAGCTACCCTACCTTCCAAAAAAGAAAAAAGAAAATTATTGTTATTACCAAAATTATTCACACATGTAAATTTCCAAAAGGTTATTTTAGACTTTTTTCTTTTGACTGAACTAAAAGTGAATCACACATTTTTCACATAGAAGTAAAAATACATCTTCATGGTTTGCCTGAAATTTTTCCCCATCAACAGCCTTCGGCTGCATTAACTGCTCACCTCAGAGGAAGGGTAAGTCAACAAGTGACACGTTTACTTTTTTTTTTCTCTTATTTTTGCTAGTACACATGTCAAAAACTCTATGAAATACAAGACACATACATGTGTCTGTCTGTAACAATAACCTACAGTATGTGCACTTATTTTGTGCTTTTTAATGTTTTCTTGAACTGTTCTTTTTCTGGAGTTGCATGATTTTGTACAGAATACATCTTTAGTGTCTTAAAAACTAAGACATGGGTCCACAGGTTTTTAATCTAATCCACGCAGGGTCAAAATTATGCATGCGGGTCCATATTTATACACATCTGCCACTAATATTTAATGTGCATGTTGCACCTTGACTACACACTCTTTGTAGCCATCAACAAGCTTCTGGCATATTTCTGCTGCTCTTCTTGGCCAGGCCCAAAATTACCATGATATGCATATATGTAACTTTCTTATCACAGCCAAAGAGTCTGAGCTGTCAGTCAAAGACCCTTTGCTGCAGCTGATTTCCCTGCTGGAAGCCTCTGGATGCTGGTTATTGAAGCCAGCTTTGGCCTCTGTGCTGGGGAAGACCAGCAAGGAGGTGGCAAACCTGAAACCTGCATCGGTGGGTAATCATCACGTATTCAGTCATAGATGTTTAAGCAGCAGTGCATTAGTAGTATTACACAGCAGCAAAAGTCTGGCAGACAAAAATAATGTATTTATTTTTTTAATTTTTACTCCTTTACTCCAGCTAATCATATCTAAGTGTAAGGGCAATAGCCTGCAATCTCAACATATGCACTGCTTTTAATTTGTGGAGTTAGGCCAGCAGTGAAGTGTGGGCCACCATTCTGGCTCTGATCTGGCTTCATGGTTTCAAGATGGATGCAAAGGACGAGTGGGAGCTTCTGGCTATGAAGGCTGCCTCGTGGCTCCGTGCTCAGAATGGTAATAAGACTAATAAATATTGAACTGCTGTTTTCTTTTTTGTGTTTTTGTTTTACAGTGTGTTCTGTTTGTGCTTAATCACTTTATTTTCAGCGACGTGTGTGACAGAGTGTGTGGAGGCCGGTAATGCGCTGCTGGGTTGCAGAGTAACGAAAGATGCTTTGGGGCTCTGAAGTTGCTCCTCCTTCAGAATTCAACTTTATGTATTGCATATTATCAGTGTTCACTAGAACCACAGACGGTAACATTTCAATGAGCAGCAGGGGGTGACTCCTCTGGTTGCAGAAAGAAGTCTTTGTATGCCTACGGGTAAACATCTTTGTTGTTTGCGGTATAAGTTTACACGTTCATAGAGGGGTTTGTCTTTCTGAATGCGGCATGATGTTCATTCACTAAATTCTGTTCCTGATTAGAATCAAAAAGGAGAAAATCACCTTGTGATGTGCCGTGTTTCTGCCAGTGGTGGAAACACTCAGCTCGATGCTTCACAACAGAACAACTAATCCCTAATGTAATGGTTGCTACAGTTTATGCATACAAACCAAAACATTCTGCACAATTGTTTTTTTATTTTATTTTCTCCAATTGTCCCTGAGAGGCATGTGAATGAGTGATCAGCTATATCTCATCTATTCAGTTCAGTTTTATTTCTATAGCGCCAAATCACAACAGCAGTCATCTCAAAGCACTTTACATTGTGGGGTAAACGCCCTACAATAATACAGAGAAAACAGTCTTTGAGACGCTTTGTGCTTTCTGTGATGCCTGCGATGCTTAGCTGAACCAATTATCAGTTCATGCACTTAAATATAAGGGCAACACTAATTGTTAGAGCATGTTAGCTTTTCCTGTGTTGATATAGTAATAAAGATAAATGTCTGATCTCTAATTGATGGCTTCTCTGGATGTGTTGATGTCTGTTGTATTTATCTTATCTTTCATTATTCTGTGGTTGTTCATCAGTGTGCGCATGTGAATTTGTAACTGAGTTTACTGTGCATTTGATAAAGCTCCTCAACCTAAATGTAGTCTTTTTTTCTCTCATTGATAAACCTGTATGCCAATCAAGGAACCACATCTGCATTTTAGCGACGCTAGAACAGTTTGTACTTCTAAGTCATACAGTCAGTGATAGGATCTGGGAAAATCTGTCCACTAAGGCCTAAGAGGTGAGATTAACGGGATGCCAAACTCAGTTGAGCTATAAGCCAGAGTTTTCTGTTCATAAAAGTGGATCTCTGGCTGGTACCTTATGCTCAACATGTGTTAAGAGTTATGGTTCAAAGTCTGGAAGTGCCATATTTTCACAGATTTTTTTTTTCTTTTTTTTAAATTGACAGCATGTTTTAAGTGCTGTGTGGATTCACAGCTGGTGGAAGCTATTTTGCATATGCAGGTTGTTAAGGCATACCTGACTACTATTACACTTTTAATCACCATTTTATCATCATCATCATGATCAATCAATCACATCTCTGACTGCAGTAGGCGGCGCTCACAGGGATCGTTTTGTGTAGCACAAGATTTTTATATAGGCGCAAACCAAGGCTGAAGCAGAAAAGCTTAACAGAGCTAGTTGATAAGCACTGTCGTGACACCTGTTATCTACAGGTGGGATTTTAGGTTTTGTTAAGCCAGCTACCACAAACAAAGCCTGGATGGTGCAACATATTTATAAATTTCCCCAATAGTATATCCTCAGGGTTAAATCACAACTCTTGCTCAGTGTTCTCTGGGATGGGCTCCAGCATCCTCACAAGAAAACCGATGGGCGGATATAGCCAATTAAATACATCTACAACATCTTTAATACGCAAATATTGTTTTCTATTTTTATTTTTCCTACTATAGAGGCTTGTTTTTTCTGATGTCTGTTCTTTGTCCTAATATGTGTGGCTGGGAAGGGACTGTATGTTATCCCCCTGTCATTTATAATGAGTATTATCCACATTACTCCAGTCACTGAACTGAGATGATACTCCATGTTGTTTTACATTGTCATCTATACAACCTGGTTTTACCTGAAAAGCTTAACATTTTAATGACTTAAACCCTATTTTAAATGTGTCTTTGAAAACTGTGCCTGCTTCTTTAGTTATTATACTGAATACTGAATATAATGTACAAAGATATAATACTACAATACAAATAATACTTGTATTCTGGTTCTTAATTTGAATACCATGAAGACAAAAGAGCAGGAGCTTATCTTCTTCTTACACATCTTGTTTCTGTCCCACTTCACTCTTCCTCTCTTTGCATGTAACCTAATTTATGGCTGTATGACCTTTAGGATTAACATGCTCTTTTAATGCACTAGACCTTTGTGCTGCTTGTGATGACAGGTGCTCCTGTCTCCTATTTACAGGACTCAAACCCAGGCATTAATCTGGTATTACACATTACAAGGTCTTGAAGAGATCACTTTCAGTGACAAGATGATATTATCTGGCTTTGCCCAGAAACCCCCCAAAATCTGACATGGAATAGTTTCTGCATATCCTCAAGCAAGTGTATTGTGAGCTGTAGTAGAAAAAGATTTGTCCAAGTGAAAAGAATAAGAAAATTATAGAGCGAATATGATTGGGTTAGCTTTGTTTTGTAAAAAAAAAAAAATACATTTTAAAAATATGAGGCTTTCAAATGAAAGTGTTCCTATGCTGTCATTTCCCAAATTGCTGTAAATGTATTCATTCATTCTCAGCCATTTGCTTAACATGTTTCAATGGATTAAAATAAAATATAAATGCACCATATTGGATGGGCTATGGAAAAATGTGTGTTGCTGGAGGCTGATGGGGTAAACCAGAGGTAAAGAACCCGCTGCACCAAAAATCTATTGTGATTGTTTTGATTGCAAGAGGATCATCACAGTTTCCTCTAGTTTCTTGCACAAATTGTCCCAAAATAGTAGCTCAGTGGTCATACAGCTTCAGAAAGTGTGACGGTTTCAAAAACAAGTTATACCTCAGCCCTGCAGCCAACATGTTTAACAAGGTGCAACTCTTACTTTGAAGGCCAAAGATCTCAACTTCAGTTTGTGTTGCTCCTTTTACATTTGCACTACAGCTTGGAGAGCAGCTGGCCAGTGTTTGCAGACGAGTTTTCCACTTTAATTTAAACTACTCGCCCCAATATGCTAGCGGTAAATAAGCAATCACAAAGGGCGGTGGTTAGTCACAGGTCTCTGGACCTGTGTGACTGGGGCTTTAGCAATCATTTTCTGTTTTTGTTATAAAGGACGTATTAATTTAAATCAAGTGGTTACATTGAGCAAGAGCTTTCAGCTTCCACTTGCAACCTGTGAAGTAAGCTGTAAAAGCTTTGGCCACTGTTGTAGTATTATTGCACTATTGCCTGCTGTCAGGTAATACTAATTTTTACTTCTAACAAGTGGCTGATGGTCATTGACTGTGTGACTGTAATCTTATTCACTTGTTCCATGATTGTCACATGTTCAAACTGGCACTGACAGGCAAGTTAAAGTCACGTGGTTGGCGGTCACATGTCTCAGAGAGACAAAGACAGAGAGAGTGTCAGCAGCATATATATGTCTGACTATATAATTGGACAAGAAGCTCCTGGCATGTGCCATAAGCTCACCCTGACAAGACTCAGACATTTTGCTTGTTAGCAAAGCTCACAAAGACAGATTTAGGCCTTTGGGGGTGGGGGGACTTGTTACTGTGGCAGACAGCATGCAACACTGATACCCGCTGTCATATACCAACAGCAGCCAAAGCTCTTCCATCTTCCATCACAGAACATTTTCCCTCATGCATGTATGTAATGGCAGTAAAGTGAACCATGCAGTAACGCCATGTTCCATGTTAAACTTAAGAGAGCTGAAATTAGTTTGTTTATATTTCCCACCATTTTTTTTTTTTTTTTAAAAAGGAACAAACAGCATCACTGCAACTACTTTCTGTTTGCATAATGCGCACAGTGTTGGTTACAGTGGGCCATAACAGCTAATCTTATCACAACCTTTGGCAGACCTCCAGCCAACACTTTCTAAACTGGTTTCCAAGGCAACCCCAACGAGCAGGACCAATTAGAACTGACAAAGGATCCGCAAGCATTAAACTGCCTGGAGATTAAAGGGAGAGACGGCAAACTCAACAAATGATAGGTGGGGTATGTCTTTATGATGTGTGTGGTGGGTAATAGGGGAGCACAGTGACTTCAGAAGCACCTGTAGGCTCACTTGTGTCTGCTTCAGTCTTTCCATTGGGGGGAGCTGTGGGGGTGAATTTAATTAAACCAATTTCAATCCTTCCTTCTCCCTATTTGGTTTCTTTCTCTGTAGGACTGCTGGGTGTTCATGTGTCAGTAGGGCTGCAGGCAGGAAACCAGATCAATAAGAAATACTTTAGAGAGATCAGTGTGTGGTTATTTTTATTTTTTTTTGCTTTTTTGTTTAGGGCCATCAGTCGAACACTGTGGCCTCTGAGCTGCACATCAATCACAAACCATGCTGTTTGTGCAGGGAGGTTTGTGTGTGTTTGAGATTGATTTGACAGCCTTTGTACTTCAGCAGGGGATCAACTTTACTGAATAACTGACACCCATGATCGCCTGGTGTTGGTAGGTTGTTGGATTTCTGTGTCTATTGGGGTTCAAATGTGTGTCACACTTCTAAATCGATGACCTTTCCTTTAAACCCTTTTAGTGCGCGCCTGTGTAAGAGTTTTATTCACGGAAACAGTAACCATGTGTTCGAAATCGAAAGTAAGTGTTTAATGTAAAAATGTCAGCTCAGTGCACTCACAGACCGTGTGAGAATCATTGACATCAGCCCGACACTCCCTGGTTTGTGATGTCCCTTTAAAATAAATTGAAATCTTATCTTAGCATTTTTTTCTATTGCCACATTGGTTTGTAAAACCAAAGTAAGGGATGGATGTGACTGACCACAAGCACAATGTGTCCACTAGTCAATCATGTTGTCACAGTCTGGCGGAGGACTGTATGTATTGTTTAGAGCGGACCCAAAACGCAGACACGAAGGAACTTGGACCAAAACTTGACTATCAACAAAAAGCGAGCCATTTAATATGGCTGATAAGAAAGTACAAAAACAAAAGGCAGATGCACACAAGAAAGATCCTAACTAGAACTAAACTGGGAAAACAAATTGCTAAACACAAAAGGTAAAGAACAAAACCTTGAACATTGCAAAAAAAACCCTAAACATGGAAAATCCTGGAAACAATTCATATCCTTTTCCAACAACTATTTCTTTGATCCTGTGGTCCATCCTTTCTGCCTTTGCCAAAACAAACATTTGCCTTAATTTTATTTTCAGCTCGAGTTTCTCTTCCGCTTTTTTGTTTATTTATATATTTTTGTACCTTTTCTTAATAAGATTGGAGGAGATTGGGTGTAGTCCTCTCCATGGTAACGCTGTTTCCCATTCTTACACTCACTGTCGCTGTCTCTCATCACATAATTCTGCCCTACCCTGTGCTTTATCGCTGCGCCCTCTCCCTATATGCGCTCTCCCCTTACCCTCCCCTTCTCTCTCTCTCTCGCTCCTTGTCTCCCTTTCTCTCTCACATATGCACACACACATACACTCAACCTCTCCTCTGGTCCACTGGTCTCCTGCTAATGCTGCACCGTCCACTGACTGCGAGATGTTCAGTCCAGCTTGTAAAGGCTCTGCAGGGGAGCCGAGGTAAGGCTTTCACCCTCGTCTCTTCTGGAGCTGAGATGTTACTGCTGCTGTTGTTGGCTGCTGACAACTGCTAACTGAGAGCCAAATGCCTGATGGGAAGAGCATTAGTGTGTGCGTGTTTGTGTGTGTGCTGATTTGTGTGAGAACTCACCAGCTGGAGTAACGGGCTTTTTGTTTGTTTTTAGGTTAGGTCTGGCACTTGTGATCTGCATACACGCACACAGCAAAGGGAAGTGATCGTACTTCCTTTTATATTCATTTATTTGTGGTCTTTTTTATGTCTTCTTAAACTTAGGAGTATGTTGTTGTCTGCATGCATGCAGGGAGTCTGCTGAGAAAGAGC